GTGCGAACAGTCTACGAACGGTCTGCGGACAGTCTACTTTTAGACGTTTTAAAGACGTCTTGATTTGTAACACAGGACGGTTGCTAGACCGCTCGTTAGCCGTCTTTAAGACGTCCCGGATGTTCTACACCAGACGTCTTTAAGACGTTTTAAAGATGTCTTTGTGCTATGTGAGAGGGTTTCTACTGTAACTAGAAACATAAGTACAGGCGCATCAGTATACACACAGCTGAATGTGTTGCTCTCAACGATGCTGTCGATGTCGCTTCAAGCAATCCTAACCAAATGTTTATAATATTCTCTGATTCTCTAAGTTGCTTCACATCCTTCAATCATCATTCGAACAATATAAAAATCAACCCTTTCATGCTTGAAATAAGAAACAAACTCAATAATTATTATAAGACCAATTGAAATGAGGAAAGAGTTGAGTTTAATTGGATTCCTGTTCTTGCAGGGATTCGTGGGAATGAGATTGCTGATGTATTGACTAAAGATGTTACAAATATAGCTTCGACAAACTTTCTTACAATTCCTTTTACGGATCCTAGGGAGGCTTACAAACGAGCTTGTGGTCGGAAAAGGTTCGTATAAAGGGATTAACTATTTTGAACAGTTTTACGAAAAAGAGAATAGGCCATGCTTGTTTTGTAATAAAAATTTACCTCGAGAAATTGCTATCGCAGTCGACAGAATTAGGACCGGGCATTACAGTTTTGCCATTTCATTTGCGAAAATTAAAGTTGCAGACGGTCCCAAAAGTGCGCGCAGTTAGAATAGACAAGATATTGATCATATCCTGTGGCAGTGTTTCATTTATGACACACAAAGGTTGTACATTCCACAATTACTATTGCGGTTACAGATATGTTTTCTTCCACCATTATGGAATTTGATACTCGCGAAGCTCACTATTGTGATTTGTCCGATTTTATATTCTTTCCTAAAAGAACTCCGACTAAAAATATAATTAGTAGACTGCGGATTTTTATGCAAAATAAAAATTGTCTCCGTTAATTGCAAGAAACGGTGGTCACATAGAAACAAGATAAGTATAAAATATCGATGATCCTAAATTCTTTTAATCTTTTCACTGTTTCCAATTATATCTGGCCAGTTTTGTGATAAATGTATATAAAATCCGCAGTCTAATAATTAGTAGTATAAAACTTAACGATAAGTACAATAATAAATAATAATAAATATAAAATAAATGTAAAATAAATATAAGATAAATATAATAGTAAATAACAATAGCAAAAATATATAATAAGATTGTAGCGACTACACTTTACGTATATGTATGTATTTGGATTTGCAGAATAGCCTTAGGTGTTTTCGACGAGTATACTCGTCGAAAACAGCTAACCGGTTAATTTAAGAAGAATTATTTTGCATTAATAACGTTCCGTATTGTGGAGTAAAGTGTGTATTCGTTATAAATTGTTTCAATCCCACAACACTGACGAATTTATTTTCGCAGCAGCGTATATGTACAAATTAGCGTAATATCGTTTCTTCTTATTGGATCATTTCATAACGCAACAAATGGGCTGTTTTGATGTGGGTGTAGCTTGGATGTATCGCATTATAAAACGCAATTTCTTCCATTGACGACTTTGACAATTAAAATAAGTTTTCCTCATTCATCGATATGATAGACCACCGAAATAAGGACGTCACTGACAATCTTTATGACGGATACAGAATTTCCCACACCGACGATTGTTACGCACAACTGACCGAAGTGACCGTAATCGATTAACTAACTGAAATAGAACATCCGTAATGAATAATCATTAATATTGGTAACGAAAGAGATTTTCGATTAATCGTAATTGTTAATTCTAATCAAATGTCGAAATTATCTAATCGTATGAATTTTCGAGCAATTTGTTTCATATTTCGAGATTAATAGCTCCAATTTGAATAAAAACACGTGTCCGTTGCTGATCATTCTGATAAAAATTTTTCAAACAACTGTTACTTTTGGTCCCGATTTGATTTCGTCGATAAAGAAACAAAAACAATTTTGATGTTTATGATTCTATGTTATACCAAAAACTCAATAAAATTGTGAAGCACTAACTTCGTAGTATTTATCTTTGGTAATTATGAAAGATTCGAGTTAATGTTTTTTCTCTTGTGAAACCCATTGGTACAGTGATGTGCATAATAGTAGACTCAAAGTAATTTTTGCATTGTTACTGATATCAAAACAAAAACTTAACGAAACATCATATTTTTATATTTCTATTTTGTATTATTTCTAATGTAAAAATATATAAATATGATAGTTTGTTAAGTTTCTTTTAGATATATAGGATGACTCAGCTAAAAAGAACCACCTATAGTACTGCGAATAATTATAAACTCAAAACAACTTCTACATTTTTACTGATATTTAAACAAAAATCAAAAAGAAACTATATTTCCATATTCTCATTTTCTATTGTTTCTAATTTAGAATTATACCAAATATGATGTTTTGTCAAGTTTTTGTTTAAATATCACTATAGATGTAAAAATTACTTTGAGTCTATAATTCTGCACTATGCACTGTACGCAATTAAGCAGATGACTCTCGACAGGCAACGTCTGATATAACTCTATCCAAGTCGGTTTTAAAAGTACTGATAATTTCTGTCCCATAACCATAACCAGACCGGTTGAGAAAAGCTTGTGACAGGTTAAGCTGCGGACTGGTGCTATTGTTTCTGGAATCCGTCAGCGTTCCATGCGTCCATGGATGTCCAAGCACTTTGGACCAAGATGAGGTGTATAAGAAACCACAAGAACAACACACTCAACTGGATTGACCGCGGCCGATTTGCAGTCATTGCAAATAGAATTTCTCGACATGATTCGAATCGAATCGGCTTGCATACGTAGCGAAAATTTCGAAACTGTCGCGTCGATAGTGTGCAGTCACAGCGAGCATTAAATCGATTTATTTGATCGTAAATACGCGATCTTGAAAAAATGATCGTCCGATCTTGAAAAATAGCCCGCGCATTATCGTAGATAATGCAAAACGAATCGAGATTCGATCGATTAACGAAGCAAATAAGATCTCTGCAGGTAACTGCTGATTACTGCTGTGTAATCGACGACTTTTCGAAGCGTGTCGCGGGGACGGTTCTTCCAATTTCGAGATTCCACCGCGTCAGCGTACTCCGGCACGATGCAAAAACCCGATGCGAGCCTAAACCGAGTTCTGCGCGATCATCGTCGAAGATCGTCGAGGGGGTAGCGTCGTCGCCAGGACGTAAGAAAACCTTCGCAAGGTAAACCGGCTCGGTCTTGCCTTAATCGCTGCACCGGACACTCTGCGGGAGGCAAGTCCGCGGAAAAATAACAGTCGCAATTACCCGGCGCCCGCGGAACGCTCGGCGAGAACAATGTGCTCGACAGGCTGCTGCATCTTTTATCCTCCGCACCGTTGCCCACTTTTACGACACCATTTATGGCGTCGGGGAGAGAGGAACCCTCGCAGCGATCATCTCGAACACAGATTCAGGGGGCTATTCTGATCTTTCCAGTTATTTATTACGGTAGAAGCTCGATTATCTGGCCCTTTCATATCAGAATTTAGGAATACATGAACCGTTTCCAGGAATTTTTGCGGTGTCCGAAGATGAACCTATTGTGGACGAACAAGTATTGGATGGGGACAAAAGTTTCCTTAAAAGAATTGTCATCTTAGCCGTGACTATTGTGCTGAAAATAATTGATTCGATCGATTAGATGTGTAATGTAATTAGAATTAGTTTATTATTTTTTGTTTTGATATTTGCCCAGAAAGGAATTCGTGACTTATTTTAATAATATTAATTAATAATTAATAATATATTCGAATGATTGCAATCTTTTTCACTTCGAGAACGGTTGCACTTTGTAATTAGAATATTGATTTTTACTGATTTTTTAAGTTATCACGGATATATAATATAAAATATAAATATAAAATCAGAGCACAATTACTTCCACTTTTTATGTAGACTATTACAATTTTAAATAATTTGAGCATTGCTAATGTTGGGAATTGTACGAATCATCGTGAATGATTCGAGGTAAAATTAAAACATTTTAATCCTCGTAGAGAAAAGAGTATTCTACAATTGCAATTTCACTCGGCTTCTCACATTCGATTAAAACTCTTCCCACGCAANGCCTTTTTTCTATTTAATTCTGATTTTCTTTAAATCACACACGTCTTTAAATGCCACCTGAAAATGAGAATTTGCATAAAAATCCGTATTCTAATTATTATAGTATTATCATTACACTTTATGCACGCATTTTTATNTTTTTTCTATTTAATTCTGATTTTCTTTAAATCACACACGTCTTTAAATGCCACCTGAAAATGAGAATTTGCATAAAAATCCGTATTCTAATTATTATAGTATTATCATTACACTTTATGCACGCATTTTTATATTTAATTTTACGAAGACAATAGAAAAATTTCTTTCATTCAGTAAAAGATTCCTCACAATGAAAACAAAATAAAAACATTATTTATTTTTACCGATATACATTTTCATCTTGTATTTTGACAATTTTGCACACGCAATAAATACATAAAGATCGAATTATTCTAAATACCATTCTAACACAACTTTATCAAAGTTACGTTAAATCGATCGATAAGAAATGACGTAGTTTCAAATATTTCTACGAATTCTCCAACAAAAATTTCACAAAAATCCACGTCCAATGGAGCAACATTTCCTGTTGCTACTCGAACGGATTTCTAGGGGTAACTTTCCGCGTATCAACTGCAAATGAAAATGAAGGAAAAAATCGAAATCAAGGTCGGAGCCGAGTCATCGATGATACTTTCGATGCGGCGCGTCTGAAAACTGCCGAGAGGTGGTTTTTCAGATCCGGTTCCCGCCACGCGGAAACACCTGCGGAATGATATTGCGGCGGCGAGTTTTGCGTCTGTTCACGTCCACTCCTACGTGTTTTTCATCATCGGCAGGAAGACCGACAGACGACGTGCGTGAATCTTCCTGCGAGTCTCTTTCCCTCGGTCTCTGATTCACCGCATCACTTCGTCGATGCCTACGGACATTGGATCAGTTTAGTCTTGTTCTCCACACCACGCGGATTGCTTTATCAGAGACCGACTTCGCGAATCGGTTGATCGTGTGTTCTATAGCTCGTGTGTTCGCCAATATCAATCTCGTCATGGAGATACGCAACAATGTGCTGGTGGTGGTGCTGTCCCAATTGTTCATCTGCTCGCTGACGCGCGGTGTCCCGTTGGACCTGCAAGGTAAATTTCACGACCGCTTCTGAATCGCTGGGTCCACGAACAGGGATTTCGTCTTCGTTGATCACGGAGATCCTCGTCGATCGGTGCTGTTGAACTTGAATCGTCGTCTTCGGTGATTAGCCTTTGCCGAAGGCTCGAGTACATTGAACCACAGTGCTGTGCAAAAATCGTAACACTTTATCGTATCGCGGTGAAGTATTGGCCTCCTGAAACGATTAACCTGAAGCATAGGTGCTGTTGCTTGTGTCTTATGTTTCTTATAAATGTGTTTGTTCGCCAATGTGCGTCACAAAGAGACTGCGGAGCTCCACGCGAATTTTTCTTTTCGAACGTCACTTTAGAAAAATTTAAATTCAGAAGAAGTTTTCTTCGGCAATCAAAAGATTACGGGAAGAAATGTTATTGATCCTTATTAATTTTTATGTTTTTCTGCATTTTAAAGATCTGCACGTGCTATAAATGCATAAATATCTGCGGTCTAGCGTAGACTTCTTCGTTCGAATAATAATCTCGAAAGGAATGATTGGGGAGATTCAATTACACAGGTTGATTTAATTGTTGGTTTAATGTTGAAATTGCTATGTTATTGTAAAGTTTACCACGATAAATCCGTGACAATGAATCGTAGATTTTTCGATATTAATTATATTAAATTTTCACATAAATACTCTTTTGAAACCTATCTACATATCAGATTTACAGAATTCGTTATTAAATCTGATTTTTTATTGATTTAAAGTGGTTCAGACTACGTCAGATTGATATACAGGTTGAGTCGCTAAAACTGTTAGGAAGCAGTATCTCCGTTATCGTTGACGATACTCAAAAATGCTAGAGGAACGGATTATATGATTCGAAGGAGCACACGTTCCAGTGGAAATAATTTCTTTTTAGAGGTCATATTTTTTTTTCGAGATTTCAAGGTCATCGATGCTTTTTTTTAATAATAGGATTACATACTTCTATCATTAAATCATGATAGCTAAGATCAAGACGAATCTAATGGCCTAAAAGTAACATGACCTTCGCGTGACCTTAAACCAGTCGAGCATCGCATTGTTCGTCGCGATTTCAATTGACGCGCCGAAATCGGCAGCGACTTGAATAAAAAAAGACGGATTAAAAAACGTGCAAAAGTCGATGGAAATAATTTTGAACGTTTATTCCAATCAAATTTCCATCGTTGATCACTAAATGTTATTACAGGTCATTGGATTCGTTCTGATCTCAGCAATCGTAGTACATGGATAAAAATATGTAATCCTATTTTAAAAAAACATCGACGACCTTGAAATCTCGAAAATATGACTTTTAAGAAAAAAACTATTTCCGCCCTTCGAACCATGCAATCTCTAGAATTTTTGAGTATCATTTACGATAACGGAGACGTTGCCTTGCAACAACTTTAGGGAATCACCCTGTATATGTCTGGCCAATATCGTAAATAATCACGACAAATACTGTGCAAAGCAAAATGGAAGATACCGTCATTCAAAACCGGTTCCTTTCCCGTCACCCCTATATCGCTCACATAATTTTCACTACAAGTTTTCTCATCTATTAATAGACACTACTTGCGCTTATTTGATAATAATATAACATTAGCACCACAATACTTATAACAGTACAATTTATTTATTACAATTTATTAAGTAATCAAATCATGTCACAAATCACATATCGTACAGCGTACGCTTAGAAGTTGCATCGGGCAGTGGAAGAAGATCCTGTAAACTTCATTAACAAACAACTGTCTTGTTTCTAATTTGTATGTTGTCTACACGAGCATACAAATCCTGAAAGAATCGTAAATACGGTAATGCGATACAAAATGCAATAAGACGCGCCTGTACTGCGTGCATTGTTTTAGAAAAGTCATAAATCAGTGGAGAACAGGTTGCATTCGCGTTATCGTCAACAATTGGAAGGCGAGGAGTTATTCGAATAAATAAATTCTGCGTAATAGATTTATCGAAGCAGCTGCAGTAGCTTCAGTGCGATGGAACCATGAAAAGAAAACAAGTTCGTTCGTTTGAATATCGACGAAATTAACATTAACGAACTGTTCGACTATGAATAATCAATTCGCGCGAAGCTTAACATTTTGTGCGATTTTTAACGAAAACTTTATTAAGACCCGTATACCCAATTTGTACGAAATTAGGGATACAAGGCGATTTATCCCTGGTGCAGCAGAGTTGTTGATCCTTGTTTTTGTATTTTGTAGAAGGTAGCGCGTGCACATTGGAGAACGGTGGTCCAGGTGTGTGCCAGAAGCTAGAAAATTGCCCGGAAAGGTTGAAGGAAGTGGAAGAAGGCAAAAGAGATTGGGATGCAGCGGGAAGATGCGGATTCGTAGGCTTCATGGAGGTCGTTTGCTGTCCAGGAACGACCACCATCATTGACAAGCTGTCTCCGAGGCCCTCCGAAGTTGGTACGTTATCATCTAAATATGGATGTTTACGAGCATTTGCACATCCATAGACAAATATTGAAAAAGAGAACTTTAATCTTTGTCTCAACAATATCAGTCAGTTAAGGGAGTGACCCGAGTGCATGATCTTTTACTGATCTTTTACCTAAAGATTTTTATCTGACATTAATATTATCAAACTTTAGAATATAAAAATTAGAATATAAAATTTTTATCTCGTCGACAATATTTCCATCCGATTGGAATACAGTATTTACGTTATTAACCGTTTTCCAAATATAAACACATTGTCTAATGTCAACATTTTTTTAAAACGTGGTGTAGCAATTTTTAGGAGCACCTCTGAGTCGTCACTAGAGTATAAAGGGTTAATATGTTTGTAACATTCGATAAAGTAACACATAAGACATTATAAAATTAGAATGTTGACAAATTGACAAAGGCTGTTCAATTAACTTCCGACTTATGAATTTTAACGATAATTTGTAGTTTATTTATTAATATAAAATAAAGCATAAGATACGGTAATAAAATAGTAGATACAAATTATTTAAACAGTTCTGCATTTCAAGTCTTTGCAAAATCATCATCACAGTTATCCGAGTATGTTTTTGTGGCACGAGGCAAATCGATGAGATTAATGCGCTCGTGGATGTGAAAGTACACTGTCAATTATGAAATAATTGCGTCGATTATGCGGCGCAAAGACATTTACACGAATGAGTCACGAACATCCGAACAGAAAACAAGTACGTTGTATTCAGCACGAAGTGTGAAACATGCACGCTATCGGTCAGAAGTTGGAATTGTTTATCAGCCGTTATATATTTATGGAAATTCATATTTTCGTCAACTAACCGGCAAACATTGGAATTCTAATGGTTTTTATCAGTCAAATTACGTAGAAACTGTACAGAATTCTGTTATCGTATTTCCGATAACTTAATAGAGTTAAAAATTCATAGACAATGTTCATGCGAAAACTTCTTGCAATCAAATTTTATCGGTTCTTATAAGGTAATTACGAATATTTGTAGTTTGGTTGATGTATTATCTTAAAGATTTAATCACCAATAATTAGTGAAAGTTTATATTTAACTAGTTGAAATTTTACCAAAAGTATCCATATAGTATTAATTTTAGAATTTTTAATGTCATTAATGATTCATGCAACAAGTTTGGCGGCTGTTGTCATCAAGTCGCGAAATCGACCCGGAAAAAATCCTGAGAATCGACGATTTCTTAGGTTAGTTTTATTTCAACTCGACGACCTTGTAGATCTTATATTGATAGCAATCAAACAGTACAGGTAGAACTGGAAGCAAAACATTTTTAAAACAATAAGAAGAAATCTTTGGTGTCGACTAAAATAAAAAATTATTTGTCGAAAATTTCCTTATTATATTTCACCAGAGAACACAACAATAATTTTTATTTATATATATATATATATATATATATATATATATATATATATAAAACGATGTACTCAAATTATATTAATATCTTACTCATAATTTAGTCTTTTCTACTAGTTTTTGTATAAATATGTTATAAGCAATGTATTTATATTATCTATCAGTTTCACGGATTAATGAATAATTAATTCGGTAGAGCTTTTTACAAATAAATAATTTTCTAACAACTTATCTGCAGGATTTGAAATAAAAGAATCTTATCTGCTAGGTATTTGTTATAGAATGAAATGAAAAACGGAGTAAATAATGTTACACAACATATATTTTGGAGTATCTTAATATAGGAATGAAATCTTCTCGTGCGTCTACAAAGCTTCAGACAAAAGAGAGCCGGAAATAAAATATTGGTTTTCGTTTTGTTACACGTGCACAAGTTTCGTTTCACGTATATGAAAGTTCCCGACGAAGGTCAGGAATTTAAATTTTAAATGGATCATGCAAAGCATGCTTCATTGCAGTTGATTTGTGACTTTCGTTACTACAGCGAATTACCAAAATATTATTTCACGTTATATTTCATTCGGAATACCTTGTGAATTGCTTATTCAATATTTTGCTTTTATCCTTTTGTAGCAACATAAATTCAAGTATAATTTACGGTCATTGATACAACCGCAGTTGGAATAATAGCCTCCGTGATAACAGTGCCACTATTCTATGTATACAGGGTGTCCAAAAATTATGGTATTTCCGGGAATCGAGGGGTACCTGAGGTCATTTAAAGTAACAATCTCCTCAGCGAAAATGGTATTTCATTTTCGGGAGGTACCATAATTTGGGGACACTCTGTATACGACTACTGCATTACATTATAAATTGTGTAAAAAAAAACTTAACGAACGATGGAAAGTCAATTATCTAAATTGTTTCTTGTAATATGATTTCCAGCTTGCAATTCATTAGATAACAGTTTGGTGTACCATATAATTGATGGTACCGAGGCGAAACCTGGCGAGTTCCCATACGTGGTTACCCTAGGATATGAAAACAAAAACGCTGAGGAGGATGGACAACAAATTATATATGACTGTGGCGGTAGCTTGATATCCTCTGAACATGTGTTAACCGCAGCACATTGTGTGCACAATATCGATAAAAAGGTTCCGATAGAGGTAAGTGCAAGTCGATTGTTCTCCGCTGGAAACATGCATTAAGGGGGAGACTCGTGTGAAGCGTTCAAACGAGAAGTGGTATTCGGCAATTTTTTAATAACATAAGACTTCGATGAAATTTATCACCACTTGTCGCATATATTCTGTAAGAATTCAAGATGCAAAATGTTTTTTTTTTCGTTACATGTTAAAGAATATATGTATCAAGTGGCGATAAATTTCATCAAGGTCATATGCTATAAAAGAATTTCCAAATATTACCTTTCGTTTGAATGCTTCACACGAGTCTCTCCCCTTAAATGTTCCATTTTATTTTTACGCTAAAATAACTATCCCCGTATTACTCTAGATAAGATTAGGCAACGAAGATCTGACCAGCAACGATGAGAGTGTACAACGCATCCCAATCAGCGACATAATGTACCATCCGGAATATAGGATCAGCATAAACTATTACGACGTGGCGATTTTGAAGCTGAAGAGGAAAGTGAAAATGTCGAGCAATGTGAAGCCTATCTGTCTCCAAACTAAATCTTTGAATACTGTAACCATGTCCTCAAAAACGTCTTTAGTTGCGATTGGCTGGGGTGCAACAAGTACTGGAGGGGATAAATCTAACAAACTGATGAGGACGCCTAGTCTCAGGTACAACAATGAATTATACATGTTGAATAAATTCAATATTTACGGTTTTATAGTAAATCTTTGCTATTAGGGATATCCATTTCATGTATATTTAAAATACAGGATGTCTCAAAATTATGGTACTTCCGGGAAGTAACTTTTTCCTTAGCGAAAATGCAATCCGTGGCTTTGTTTACAAGTTATTAACGATAATGAGGCACGGATGAAGCCCAATTTCGCTCATTGGCTTGGCCGTCTCGCGCCAGCTGATCTCGTCTCTTATTGGTCACTGTTTTTCGTTAATAACTCATAAACAAAGCCGCGGATTGCATTTTTGCTAAGGAGAAAGTTACTTCGAATGACCTCGACTCCTCATTTCTCGGAAGTACCATAATTTTGAGACAACCTGTATATGCACGTATTTCTTTGCATACAATCACACGGGTACACGATATATTACGAGTAATATACTACCTATATAGGCACGAGTCGTACTTTTAAATATACAGTAGTTAATATATTAGAAGTACAGTANTAAGTGCAAGTCGATTGTTCTCCGCTGGAAACATGCATTAAGGGGGAGACTCGTGTGAAGCGTTCAAACGAGAAGTGGTATTCGGCAATTTTTTAATAACATAAGACTTCGATGAAATTTATCACCACTTGTCGCATATATTCTGTAAGAATTCAAGATGCAAAATGTTTTTTTTTTCGTTACATGTTAAAGAATATATGTATCAAGTGGCGATAAATTTCATCAAGGTCATATGCTATAAAAGAATTTCCAAATATTACCTTTCGTTTGAATGCTTCACACGAGTCTCTCCCCTTAAATGTTCCATTTTATTTTTACGCTAAAATAACTATCCCCGTATTACTCTAGATAAGATTAGGCAACGAAGATCTGACCAGCAACGATGAGAGTGTACAACGCATCCCAATCAGCGACATAATGTACCATCCGGAATATAGGATCAGCATAAACTATTACGACGTGGCGATTTTGAAGCTGAAGAGGAAAGTGAAAATGTCGAGCAATGTGAAGCCTATCTGTCTCCAAACTAAATCTTTGAATACTGTAACCATGTCCTCAAAAACGTCTTTAGTTGCGATTGGCTGGGGTGCAACAAGTACTGGAGGGGATAAATCTAACAAACTGATGAGGACGCCTAGTCTCAGGTACAACAATGAATTATACATGTTGAATAAATTCAATATTTACGGTTTTATAGTAAATCTTTGCTATTAGGGATATCCATTTCATGTATATTTAAAATACAGGATGTCTCAAAATTATGGTACTTCCGGGAAGTAACTTTTTCCTTAGCGAAAATGCAATCCGTGGCTTTGTTTACAAGTTATTAACGATAATGAGGCACGGATGAAGCCCAATTTCGCTCATTGGCTTGGCCGTCTCGCGCCAGCTGATCTCGTCTCTTATTGGTCACTGTTTTTCGTTAATAACTCATAAACAAAGCCGCGGATTGCATTTTTGCTAAGGAGAAAGTTACTTCGAATGACCTCGACTCCTCATTTCTCGGAAGTACCATAATTTTGAGACAACCTGTATATGCACGTATTTCTTTGCATACAATCACACGGGTACACGATATATTACGAGTAATATACTACCTATATAGGCACGAGTCGTACTTTTAAATATACAGTAGTTAATATATTAGAAGTACAGTAAAGACTTTTGTATCTGAAGGTTTAAAACTTAAAAACTTCGTTCAAAATTTCTGACAATGTGACAATGTATCTACATAATACAATTGATTAGATAACGGAACGTTTGAATACCAGAATTTTGAAGTTTCTACTGTATCCACATTTTCTTTATGTGATTATATGAAACATTATATGAAACAAATATACATATTTTATTTCAAATATATTTTTGCAATTATCTCGGAAACTAATAAAGCCGATATAAGTTGATATAATTTTGACAACATATTTCAAAGATATCCAAAAATTGGTGAGGTCGGCTCTAATGTAAATAATTCACATATATTCATTCAAGAATATATAATACAGGCAACATGTTTCTAAACTTTTGTCCGCGAGTGTACGCGTATTGAAAACAACGTGTACCCGGATGTTACCCGTGTATCCGTATACAAAGAAGTGGACGTACTAAAAAGTGGATAAATACAATGCATGTTCAAGATCATAATCTCTATTTTCGATCGTCTTTTCATGTACAGTCTCGTTGGGAGAGAAGAATGCGCCAAGCATTACGCAGGAATGCGTCAATTACCTCGGGGTTTCGACGACACCATGATTTGCGCAATCGACAGAAACGTAAGCAGAAGATCGGACGCCTGTCAAGGGGACAGCGGAGGACCACTGTTAATGATATCCGACAACGGTGACAGTGTCATCGGGATCACGGCGTTCGGCCAAGCCTGTGGCACCGCCACACCTGGCGTTTACATGTCGGTTCTTTCATTTTTAGACTGGATCGAGGAGCAAGTGTGGTCGCCACCGAAGGCGAGCAATAAATTTACTTTTTCCTTCAGTTTGAAATTAAAGAATGCCGAACCGGAACAGCCAGACGTAAAAGTTAACGTGAATGCGGATCATTAGTATTCTGCAATATGTTTGCTACCTGCATATGCAAACTGCTACCTTTTTTTTACTACTTTCTTTTCTACTATTACGAACTGCAGTCCCTGATTGTCCAGTTGTCGACATTCGTTATCGACAAAATAAAATAAAAATATTATTACAAGTATTTTATAAAACGAACCGATAAATGCATAAAAATCTGCAGTCTAGTTATAAATCTGAAGAGAGAACAAGAGATATATATATTCTAAGAAATTATAATTGTAAGGAAAAGTGAGATTCTAAGAAATTGTAATTTGTAAGAAGAGTGGGAGATTCTATGACGTTATAATTCAACGAATAGTGCCATCTTTGTATGGTTCGTATTCGTTTATCGAAGGCCGTATCGATGAAATAATTAAAGATGAGTTTGCGTTTACTGGCAAACGAATCTGGAGTAGCAAACACCCGCCGACGACGCTGACGCGATAGAATTTAAGTATGAACGAGGCGACTCATTTCGATCATGATCATTTCTTTTCGCAATTCACGGTTCAAACCGGGTGCTCTCGTCATTCTCGTCGCGAATCAATGAACTACGTGACGTAAACATTAACAAAACCCTTTTTTATTTATTCACATTCTGTACAAATGTATTTTACATAAAGTCGACGATGTCCACCGTGCTTATGTAATGGACGGCGATTTATAGTTAAGCATCGTTTCGTATACTTTGTCCAAGCGAAGTACAATTATATGCGTTTCTACGTTAAAATTAAGTAAAATAAATGGAACACACCGTAAAGCCAATTCGTTGTTTTTATTCATTAATACTCCTTCTCTCCCCGACAACTCATACGCGTCCTTGGGATCAGAAACATCTGAATGTATCCGATCATTCCGTAAATAGTGCCATTTTGAACGGTTAACTCGAAGCTTCGAAACATTTTTACAGAATCGAATTTTACATAATTAATACATAATATTTTAAGATTTTAGTATTTTAAAGTACTTTGAAGTATTTTAATGACCATTTTGAAATATTCTTCTTCAGGCATTTTTAGAAATGGTAGCTAAATGGTAATAAAATGAAGACAATAAAAGTGTTCAAGTTATTGGCTCAGATTTTTGTTTCTTAAAAGAATAAACACTGCTTTGAATAGTCGAAAGTAAGAAGGAGAACGACACTACTTACAGAACGATCTGGTGTATATCTACTACGTTTACAATGTTTCCGAAATTACCTCCATTACAAGAGAACGAGTGTCATATTCCTTCGCGCATTTATGCAGACTGTGATATTATTTAAACAATTTTTGGGATCCGCTTTTAGCTGTCGCTGCGAGCGACCAATCGCACGGGATTCAATTACTACGATTACGCAAGACGATAATTTTCTAAGCAGCGTGATTACGAGAGAGGTTACATACAGTCATGTTGCTACAATCTTGTTGCGGAACCTTCGAAAATTTACAAAAAAACGCCGAGTACCAGGAATATTTCTGAGTTTAATCGGGCGTTGATTGAATTGAAGAAGGTAATATATAATACAAGATACGCTGAAAATGACAGAACGTTATTCGTTTTCCTGTAATGGAGGGATTTCGAGATTTCCACGAGCCCATCGCGGTACCTGTATAGTAATCGTAAATACCCAAACGTAAAGGAACAACCAACACCAGAATTTATAGCGATCTTAAGTAATCCAAGTTGCTTTCCGTCAGGTTTCACTTGTGTTTGTACACAGACGCGTTGAACACACACCACGTGGAGGCTGATTATTAATTCTACACATCGAATATCCTTATTTAGTCAACAGAGGACATATACAACGATTATAATACAGCATATTTGTACGTAATGCAAGGTAATACTGTTGCGATCAGGTGCGGTTGCAGGCATAGACGGCGTAAAACCTAACGAACGAGTTCCCAACGATTTCATTGCTGACGCGTTCGCCTCGAAGTGGAGAAACATCAAACATTTTCGACCGCGGATGATCGGTGCGTCAACGACAGAAATTTCTTCTATAAAATTTAATCAAGTTCATTTTACGTTGTATTGCTTTAATCGATTTATCGTAGCCACGCTCTTTAAGAAGTACAATTTCATTTGGTGATGGGTATAATTCAAAAGCCACCGTTTTATTCGTTCAATTTCAGCAAGCAAACACGTTCAGTAAAATTAGCTGAACAAAATGAAATCAATTGGGAATCGTTCAACAGCTCGCTGCGGCCCCAACTCGATAAACCTAGATTCCAAAATTGCGTGCTTGTATATTTGAGAGAATACTAGTTCCATCGTTTCCAGCGAGTAATGAAAGTATTCAAGTGTAGCAGTTGAAGAGCAATTACATAAAAACAGTACTCAATAAACAGTAGTCAGGTTTATGGAAAAATCTTGAATGTTTTGAAAACTTGGAAAATTATATAAATAGACGAGAAAGTTATTTAAAAAGAAATATAAAATAATATATTCGAAATATGAAATATTCATAAATTTTGGCGACAATCGTTACATTTAATACTGTTGTTTATATGATCGTTCTTCGATCCATTTGCTGTTTCCTATATTTTTATTACTCACTATATGTATATTAATACGTTACCAACACCCATAATGAATCTTCCAGCGTAGTATCATTGAATTTCATCAACAGGTCAATTAAAAATTACAGGAATTTTAAATAGTAATCTTCAAATAATTTAAAAAATGTACATGCACCAATAAATATGTGTCATTATCAGATTGATCACACTTACAGTAACGTATGCACCGTGTCGGACATTTGTGTAAAAAAGCGCGAGGATGTTGATCGGGGGAAATGTTCGCATTGACCATTGAATTATGCTGGATCAAATCTGAACACGACTACTGAAGGTAATTCATTGTAAGGTAGTGGAGCTGTCTACTGTGGGGTGACCAATTCCTGTGTTTTAATTATCTTTTTATTTATTGAATAAGACGTACTAAATGTTTGTATTCAAAAATAAACAAAATAAAAGAATAAAAAAATTATTCCACCCTACTTTAAATAATTTATTATCTTGACAACCAAGAAATTGATTTTTCTTTTTCAGGACAAAATGAATTACATCAAAATGGCTTTCCACTGAAATTGATCTTGACATATTCAGACAAATGTTGTAGCATACAACAATTTCTCCGAGTATTAACACCGAACCTATACACTTCACATTTATTATTGTAAACCTGTTGACATGATAAGTACTCTTTCACAGGAAATTATTGAATAAATTTCTTAATTCGAGCCTACATTATGGTAAAAATGGCGAAAAATCTATATAACTTTAATCTTTTCAATCTTATGAAGCGACACACACCAGTTGCTTTTAGTTTTCAGTAGTTCTAGCATTAAAGAAAGATATTCTTGTTTAATTTCTCTTGTCAACATTTTTAATTAACTGCGGAGAATCTAACAAAATCCACAGTGTATTTATACCATTGAATCGATAGTGAAGTAACAAAACGTATCTCAACCAGAAATTCCTAGGACAAGATCAATTAAATAAAAACAATCTAACGTTCGTTTGAACGATCTAATAAAAAAGAAATCTATTCGAACAATGTCTAGATCCGTCCAGAAAGCATGAACAAATTATCTTAGTTCGTGAGGACACCCTAAAGGGATTGATTTTCAAATCTGGTCGATACGAACCTTTCCCCGAACTTCCTGCTCAACCCCCATAATTTCACCCCCATTTCGTAGCTATCGTGTACAAAGATCTGAGAAGTTCCAGCGCCCTGCTGTCGGATGCAGAGGTCTGATCCTCCTGGAGCGAATTAATAGCTTCCGAGGTCGGGAGTTTCTCCGATCGCCGAATCAGATTCGCCGAGTTCTCTGTGGTCGTCCTGAACTTCCGGCTCTTTCTGCTTCTGTAGGTGGTGACAACAGGCTCGGTGGCCATCGGGCTGGTGGTGACACTTCTGGGGCTAGCAGTAACAATTCTGGGGCTGGTGGTACTTCTCGAGCTTACAGTGGCGCTCCTGGACCTGGCGGTCGCTTTGGGAGCCACGCTCAGCTGATTGATGCCAGCTACGATGTTTCTAGACTCTTCGGAAGCGAACTCGTTCACTGGCAATCTCAGCAACGCATTCAACAGTTCATCCTTCTCTCCCTGCATGGTCTTGTTCACCGGATCCTTGCAATGGCGTACAAGCAATAAGACCAGCTGCCTAACAGTCTCGTTGTTGTCCGCTTGCTTCATGACTCTCATCAGAGTGTTACTGCTGGTAGCATTCAACTTGCCGAAGAGGTTCTCAGCGATCTCGTTCTCGGTGGTGTTCGCGTTTGGTATCGTCGTGTACGGCAGCAACGATGTCACCAAGGTCTCTTGAGGCAGAGAATTGGTGGACGTGATCGACGACGTTATTGTCGTGGTGATACTAGATCGTGTTGTGATCAAAGGCTTCGGAGTCATCGTGATCTCAATAGCGGAGGTCGTGGGGAGCAGAGAGAAGCTCGTAGGCGTGTCTTTGTTCCTCGAGTGTCTTTGCGGGGCTGGTGGCTGGTCGGTCTCGTTGCTAGAAGACTCTTCGGTGCTGCCTGACTCGTCCCGCAAGAACGTATTACCATACTCCGAACTTTCCTGACTTCCAGCCACGATGTCCGTGACCGAGGGCACCGTTGTGCCGATATCTGACTCCAAACCGTGATTGATGCGCTGAGGGTCTACGAAGACCGAGGTCTCCCAGAGATGAGTAACCGCTGGAGAAGAGGTCCAATGATCGTTGTTCAGAGCCTTCGTGTTTTCTTTCGGCTCTGTAGTCTCGAACGAGTCGGTCTGCGACTCGGTATGAGTGCAAGGTGTGGTCTCTACGATGGTCGTCGGGGTCGTCACTTCCGTCGTTGATCTAGGCGTCGACGTTAGCCTTTCGGTCGACTCGATGCTGTTATACGCTGTCCTGAACTTCGTGTAGCTGGTCCGTGACGTTGGGAACGGAAGTCCTTGCTCCGATTTATGCAAGTGTGATCTGAATGAGTGATCGTCGGGAGTTTCATAATTGTTCGTTGAAAAGCCGGAAGTCGTGGCGCGGACATGCTGAACGGACATAGGGGTGCTCGAATAGCTCTCAGGGTTCAGAGCTGCTCTCTCGTTCTCTTTTCGAACGACTTCCGCGTAACTTTCGTAAAACGGTGGTGTCAACTGTTGTTCCGGTTTCCTGCTGGTGGGCCTTTTGTTCCAATTGTGCGTAACCATGTGTGTCAGCGAAGACGGCGGCGAGGGAGTCGGCGAAACAACGAAGTTATCGCTTATGGGAGTCGTAACGAGCGACTTTGCCTCCCTGTAGGGCTCTGTGACGATGCTGACGCTGTTATTCTGAAAACCACCAACTTTATTCTGATTCTGAACGTCGCCCGTACACTCCGTGCAAACGTAATTGTCCGTCACCTGTGTTCTGTCACTGTCCCTCGTTTCTTTCTCGCGATTATAAAATCCGCTTGAACCGCTCGTGTACACCGTGCTACCTTGCTCTGCGGTTACGGTACTCTCTGTCGGAGGTACAGAGGTCTCGTAATAATCATTCGTCACCGAGTTTGTAACGAAGTTGGTACTCGGTTCGTAAGTCTCTTGGCTGGACGGTCTGGGAGTAGTGTAATAAGAGCTCGGCTGAGTGCTCAAGATATCGTAGACGTTATCCGGAACAGTTGTGGGTGGTTCGAAGGTGGTGGGGTACACGGTGGTCAGCTTCTGCCTGATGTCGTTCCCGTCGTCGGAGAAGTCGAGGACCTCGTCCTTCTCTCTGATAGACGACGTGTAATCCGACAGATCCGAGTCCGTCGTGGTCTTAAATTGGTCAAAGTCAAGCGTCGTCCTCGGCGGCTCTGTGGGCCTGATCTCGGTGAGCACTCTCTTGAAGGTGTCCGGATCGAGGAGGTAAGCGGACAAAGCGTGCGTGAAGACCTGCGCGATCTCCCGAAGCCTGGTGCTATTCGACCTCCTGAGATCATCCAGGGACCCTCCGCTCTGCTGCAGCTCCAGGTCTTCGTTGTAATCCTCGCCGTAGCTGGAGTTGTCCAAGTGATCCTCCGTTGTCACATTGTTCTCGAAAGCATCGTTCAATTTGAACAAATCGGAGTAGGAATCAATAGTGTGCTGTGTCAAAAGGGTGCTGGGCACCTGCACAGTCCCGTTGCTCTTCTTCGAAACTATCTTCTCGGCGTCCTCTTCGGACTCCGCGCTGATCGAAGAGTCGGTAGGCTCGTTGGAGTCGAAGTTCTCTGTAGCCGTGGAGAAGTACAAAGCCAACGAGTGCAAAGTGGACGGCGCGGGTGCTCCAGACCTGTTAGAGACTTTTTCGATCGCCTTAGGGGACTCGGTGAGGCCAGGCACGTTGTTCTCCAGGTTCTTCAACGAGTGAAGCATACTCAGCGCGTGCTCCCTCTCGGAGAAACGGGTCGACTTAAGTTTGCTCAAAGAGGTTGGCGCGGGATACTTCAGTTTGGGAATCAGAGTCTTCGCCGAGGTATAAGTGGGTATCGTAGGTGTGTACGGTGTGGGCTTCGTCGTGGATGCGCCGCTGCTGGCATAGTTCCTGGTGAAGGGCACGTACGGGCCCAAAGTGGACATCACCTTTCCTTGCTTGTACGTGAAGCTCCTGTCGTAGGGACTCAAGTCCTTCTCCGTGACGGTGTTCTGTTGGTAGGTTGGAGTGGTTCTATATGGTTTCTCGGTGCTCGAGCTGATGAAGTTTTGTCGATAGCCTGGCGAAGCTGTGGACGGGTTTTTGTTCGGCGACCTGCTATATTGATTGTCGTAACGCGTCGTCGGCCCCTCCGTGCCTCGTCCAAAATTGACGCCGCGGGACGGCGAGCTGGCGGCTGGCGGAAAACTGCTCGCGGTGAACGTCTGGCTGTCATAGTTGGACGTGACAGTATTCTGACGGTAGCTATCCGTGATTGCCTGGGACCGGGTCGTCGAGGGAGCGTACGAGCCCTCGTTGCTCGCGTCTGTTCGACCATTCGAGTTCCTGTTGTCGGCGTTGTTGTAATAATTAGGATCGGAGAAGGTGCTCCTCGACTCCGAGTTCTTGAAGTTGCCCCCGAAGTCGTAGCTACTGTCGGCGAACTGCAGGGTCTCCGTGGTGGCCGGAGGATTGGTCGTCGCACCTTCCGTGGTGGTCTCGTCGTTGCAAGGCGGCGACACGGTGGTCGTGAAATATGGCGTCGTCGTTTCATAGTAAGGGGTCGACGTTGCGTCTGTGAATGAGAAGTCGTTCCTCTGCGTGGTCGCATCGTTTCTATCGGTCGTGACTGTGGTGGATTCGTACTCCGCGTTTCTGGCGGTGGTCTCACGATTGACGTACAGCTGGTAGTAATACTGATGCGAGTTCCCATTGGTGTCGACGAACCTGTTGCCGCGATTACCAACGAAAGCGGCGCTCTCCGCGAATTGCTGCGATTCCTTGATCGAGCTCGGGCTGCTGGCTCTGAAGGTTGTTGACTCTGTGTAAGACGGGGTGACTCTCTGAGCGAGAGTAGACGCGGTACTATTCCGAGTCTGACTTTTGAACTTCAACCTTTTCAGCGCCCCTTTCTCCTGGTTATTCGAGTTCCGGCTGGTCGCGTGATAATTCTGTGCCTTCTTGGGGGTGCTGTAATAGTCCTGACTGGTCGTCGAGAATTTGTTCACGTTCCCTTCGTCGGTGTTCCTGGTGAACTGGTTCAAAGGCGGCTTCGTGCTGGGGACCTGGCCGTTTTGGAACCCACCGTTCCCGACGAACTGGTTGTTGTCCCTCTGGCCGTTTTCTTGGCCGAAGTTGTTGCCACCGTCGAAAAACCTGGACGTCTTTATCCTTTCCTGCATCTGGTTCTCCAGGGGCGGCTCCTCGTACGTCTTTATCCGGCCGTTCTGCTTCCCGTCATAGCTGAGATTCTGGACGTCGAAGTAATCCTGCTGGCCACCGGCCTCGATCGATTGCTGGTACTCCAATTTCGTTTTCCTTGATTCTGCTCGCCTTCGTTCCTCCTCGAGCAACTGCTCGCTGCTTTGTTCATACAACTCTGCGGACTTGCTGCAGTCCACCTTGAACCACCAATCGCAAATCAGCTGCGACTGCTGGAAGATGGTGCCGTTCGGGCAGAGGAACGATATCTTCCGCCCGTTGTCGCAGATGTGGAACACCTGCAACGAATTGTCATGGTTTTGCAACGTATTTAAAAAAAAAATCGTTTCGGATCGAAGTTCTTCGAACTTTAATTACTAATTTACAGGGCTTTCGAGAACTTAAATTTGCTATGCAAAACCGTGGAAAACATTCAGATATTTCAATAAGGATGGCAAGTATTGAAAATGAAACGGTTCCTAGTGATTCATGATGAATCCATGATGTTGGATTCTTAAATAAAAATTACTATCCTATTAAATACAGTGTTTTAAAAAGTGTAACTTCAACTTCAGAATTTCTTTTGCACGAGCATAATAAAGTATTTAATCGTTGTCATTTAGATTGTTATTATGTATATTCTTATCTGGTGTGCAGAACCAAATCAATTTTATACTTTCTGGTAACGTTTAACAAAATATACGGATGGGTACCGAACACGTCAAACACCATTTAGTGTTTGACTTTTTCAAGCCATTATGAAAATATTACCTCGATTACGAACATCTTCCTAATGCGGAAACACTTGAAATATTTCATCCCGTATTTTAAACTTAGACCCGATTCTATGCTGCGCGCGCGAACAAATCCGTGGTTGCGCAACGCTGAATCTTGCATTTGATTAAGGTAATTACGTTGAGTAAGATATATTAAGCCGCTCATTACTTACTTGACAATTTGTCTCCAGATCCGCGTAGTAACCACCTTTCAGACCGCGACAGCTGAACGAAGTGGCGGGAATCGTCGTGAGAGCTGGGAAGTCGACCCCAGGTTGCCCTGTCACGCCTGTTAGGGAATGGTACAACGAACTTTGTCAATAAAGCACGCGCAGAAACCGGCATTTCTTTGTCAATGCTAAATCAAAAAACTTCTATCAAAAATAAGCGCTGGCAACGTAGTCTTAAGGCAATGTAAAACTAATTAATTCTCATACGCTCCTCGAATGAAAATTCATCCATCTTCTGTTTTGAATGCTGTGAAACTCTTTATCTCGCTGTGATTTTCTGTACTCGTTAACACTCATACGTTTCTCACAGTAAAAGAACGATTTCTATGTTAGACGTCGTAAAATATTTAATTTCTTCCTGTTTGTCCCGCACATTATACTTTTTCGAACTGTGGAATTGTAAATGAAACTCTTTTGATGATTTAAAACAATGTTTTTGAGCTTATTATGTGGAAGGATATATTAATTAATATAAAATTATAAAACAGAATAACAATTTTGTTTTACGCTCAGATTAAGAAGCAAAATAGATCATACATTATATTCTTAATATATACTATATTTTTTTTTGTCATTTCAATCAATTGCAAATATCACAAAAACTTTTACAAACCGTTTAGTCCAAACATTGTGCGGCGACAGCCATATTGTTTAATTTGCGGTATTACAGAAAAATCCGATGAACCAAAATTTTTATATGGTTTATAACATAATTACAACGTAAGTACAAGTAATATCATCTGAATAGTGTTCATATAATATCGATTGAATACGAAGTCACAAAAATAATATAAATGGTAGATATTTCATCTACTGTACTTTTTCATTTTAGTCAACACTGAAAGGGACAAAAAACTTACATAAGCCTAATATACTCTGTTCAGGTCATATAAACTCGAAACACCATAAAAGGGTTAAAATGTGAAACATGATTCCACGTGAAGTATCTTCGGATGCAATTATTTCTGAGGAGTATACGAGAGCTAAAATATTCTAAATAGTAAGACGCAGTTAACCCCTTGCACTGCAACAACTTCGAATTCGAGGTGAAGATCATCGTTAATCTATGAAACGTTGTGTTAATGTGTTATTCATTTCGCCTAAATCGAATCAAAAAATTTGATTCTTCTGTTATTAAAATCTACAAACGAAAGCAGAGGATGACGTACAAGAAACAAAAATTGTCTCGTTCTATCAAGGGATTATATGTACAGGACGAGAGAGAGAGAGAGAGAGAGAGAGAGAGAGAGAGAGAGAAGAAGTCCTAATCAACAGAGTTATGAAAGAAATCGTAGTGCAAAGGATTAAGGTGTCAAACTAAAATGCATTGAAACTACTGGAGACTCGATCGTGTATAATATTTCGAACTCGCACGGCGTATCTCTTTAACAAAAATATAACTAGGGAAGGGGGGTATACTTAGGATCATCTATAATTTTTTTCAATTTTTTCAACATATTTTTTAAGGTACTTCTTGCAATGTAATGTAATATACTGTAATGGAACGTGCATGCGAAGATTTAAATGAATCGTCTGAAACTAGACAGTCAAATGACAAGATTTATACTCTGGGTCCGGATAGACCTGAGTATAAATATTGTTATTTAATCTAATTGTTATCTAATTTCTGACAATTAATTGATTTATTTATTAATCTTCTTATTTTCACTTATTTCATAGTCTCTAGATGGACTATCTTTGAAAAAAACCTGTTGAAAAGAAATGAATAAATAAAATTATAAGTGATACTTAATTACATTTTCGACAAAAAGGTCCGCCGCTCGAGTGTTAATAAGCATATGGCGTTCGGCTATATGTTGACTATATGTATAATATATAATACGGCAGAACAAAAGCGGTAAATGAACACGGAAGCATGGTTAATTTTTTTGACCGGCCAGTAACATGTTTCTTCGACTCGATTTTCTCGTAGTTTCCGTTTGATCTCGGCCCCCGTCGATCGATATCAATTTCCCGATCAGAAGGATCGGTTGTCATGCCGATCAGTTTCAAAAGAATGCTAACTAGATGCATGCGCTTCGTTCTACGAGGTAGGAAGCTGGAAAGAGAAAGTGATGCCAGTACTTGTACAGTATTAATAATAATACCCGCTCCTTTGAGCCATTCCTTGAGAAGATCCGGGTTGCCGAAGAAGACTGGGAAAGAAACGCGAAGAAAGTATTTTAGAGGCGGCACCGGGCAAGGTTTTAACAGTTTGTTTCGGGCGTTAGTTAAGAGACGCATTAGGAACCTTGGTAAACTTGGTACTCGCCATTCTTCTCCGGCGCCAGTCTTTTCACGATTTTTCTGAACGACTCGCTGCTCTCCGACGATCCTTCCACGCTCGAGAGGTCCAGCTCGGTTAGGAACTTCGGCAAACTCGCCCTTTTGTTGCTGTTCTCTGACTGAAAGTACAGGGCAACGTTATTCCGGATATATTATGCTCGCTGCATCTTGAACGAGTCCGAAATTGCTTGGCCAAAGAGATCATGCCGCAAATATCTCAGCAGCGTATAAATTTTCTGGATTTGTTGCAAGGCACAGTAGCGCCATCAACATCCTTTTCTTTTTTTAACACTTCGTGTACCGGCAGTTTTCTAAAAATTATTTTCAAATTTAAGATCAACAGTTGAGAATCTCTTAAAAAAAAACTGCGACAACAATTTTATCTGCAATTTAGCGAATTATTCGGGTTAATGTTATTTATTAAGTGTTTCTGAAATTATTATTTAATGGAAACTTAGCGAGCTTCTTTTACTTAGAGCTCGATCATTGAAAATCCAGTTAATAGGCTGTCGGTAAATAAAGTGTTAATGATTATAATAAGTTTTAAATAATGCAACAGTGTTTCTAAATATTCTAAATATTTTTACCGTTTTCCATTTGATCTACTTTGACGAGCTTCAGCTTGTTATTAATTATTCTTTTATAAAGAAGAAAGATTCCAATTGTTTCGATAAACTGTTTCGTAATGAAATAATTAAATAACGATTTTTCATTCATCGATTCACTTTTATGATTTTGGAAGTGTAAGTACTCACGAATCAGCGGATTTTAGACGTTTACAACAAGAAATGGATAGGTGAATAAAAAACTATGAGAGCATGCTGATTCGTAAATAATAAATAATCGCTGAAACTAGTATTTATTAATTGATATATAATCACTGAAACTAATAATTATCAAGGAATACTAGGAATATCTAATTTGTATAGTCATTTGGACTGGTGTAAATTGCATTATATCTATGCTCTTCACCGATCATCAGACAGATGCGTGCAATTGTTCTCGTTTGTCGGCTCATTACATTTCTCTATCGCTTTCTACGATTATTTATAGTAAAAGTGTAAGCGTGTAGGCATCACGTAATAGTCACCTCGGTTTTGCAGCAGCTGGGAACAAAACTAATCACTGAACCTGAAAAGCAGAATAACATACACACATGTAAGAATCAACTTTTAGGAAACGGTTACGTTCTTATTTCCATAGAATGTACAATGACTTCTTTTCCCCGAACAGCGTTTGACGAAAGAGTTACCGAACAGCGCGCAGGGAAATATGGAGAAATTTTGTGCGTAGTTGCTAATTGTTATTCCTGGAAATCTGATCGGGAACAAACGTGTGAATCGTAGGATTTACGTAAGATCTAGAATTCCCCGATATTACTCTTCGACGCGTGAAAAGATAAATAGAATGGTTCCGATACTTACACAAAAATATTACTATCTCAAAGTATGCCATCGTTGACAGGTTCGTGTTCATGATTCTATAATAAAGAGAGAAAAACAATTGAAAATATTAATACCTGGAATTGAAAAGATTTTACACTTATTTTAATTATTTGAGATAATTTAATAATAGGGTTGATTGTATTATTGAAACGTCAATAAAATAAAGAATTATGTGAAACGTATGTTTGCATAATTATTTAATACATTCTAAGTGAATTCATAAATAAATATAACATGAATAGTGAGAGAGAGGAGAGAGAGAGAGAGAGAGAGAGAGAGATTTCCCGAATAGATGAAGTGAATTTTCGTAGCAAACTAGATATTTTTAGATTATATACGTATGTTTATTATTTATCTAATCGCGATATATTTTATAAAACGTACGCTAGTAATCCAGATTTAAGAACGTTCAAAATTACGTTTGTACTTACGTATTCTATTAGAACGGGATGCTACATTAAATATATGTTGTATATTAGCACAGAGAAAGTATACTAACGCATTGTTAAAAATCTAACAGACAGAAGACTAGCTGTGAAAGTTCATTGAACTCTTTAGTTTAAGAATCCGGTTTGATTATTTTCTTGTAATAACTTCAATAAGAAACGACACACTTTGATAAGAAACTTTCACACTCTACTAAACTCAACAGTTTCGATTGGGATTAGGTCGGATTTGAGGTAATTATTTGCCAAATAATCTCCATTAAAAATCTCCGATTTTGAGGAAATTTTAATATGTTGTACAGCTTGTCATTTTGAATAACTTTTTCTTGTCCACAAAATGTCACTCTGATTAGTTTTCGAGATATTTGCGAAATTCTGGAGATCTAACCTACACTTATAATTAGACTGCGGATTTTTATGCAAAATAAAAATGTTCTGCATTTATTATAAGTAACAGAACCCATTTTTGAATTTCTTTCTTTAATAATTTTGGTGGAATGAAAGTAATATATTGATCTCCTATTTCTTGAATCTTTATACTTCAAATTGCACCTACTCATTTTACTCATGAATGCATAGAATCCACAGTATATTTATAAGAATGTATAAACAAAAGAAAGAATTGTTAAACAAAAGAAACATTTAAAAAGTTGAAGGATATTGTTACACTACTTTCAACTCATCTAAGTTATTGGATAAAGAAAGACGTTTCTAAGAGACTCTTTTTTGCAACTGATGCGTTAAAATTTCTATACATAAACTTTTGCAGTTTAGTTATAAGTATAGATTAGGTCTGAGTTAGAGGCCTATAAATTTTCGCGAATATCTCGAAAAAGGAAAGCAAAGCGACATGTTTCGCACAGGAAAAAGTTGTTCAAAATGTTTAACTGCACAACGTGTTCAAATCACATCAAAATCAGAGAAGGAGAAGCCTTTATAAACAATTACCGGTTATTATTTTTAGCAACAGTTTTGGTTATTTATTATTTAATTACGATATTTATGATTTTATTACTATTTATTATTTTGATCACGATATTTTGAGTCATAAGTAATTATTTTGCGGTAGTAGACAGAATAAACTTTTAAAATTGCTAAATAAAATATACAAAACTCATATCGAATGCAGAGCACAATTCATAGCAAAGTTGGGCATTATTCGAATTAAATAAATATTTATAATTTAAATATTTATCTAAGATAATTATCCGAATGAATACTTTTTAGTTGAATAGTTTAATCGAATAACAATTATTTATTATTCGTCATAAATTATTCTGTCTATTTAAAATTACTTGAATAAATTATTCGAATAAATTATTCGAACAGAGATTGTAAAATCATTTGAATAAATGATTCGAATAGAGATTGTAAAATTATTTGAATAATAATGTGAATAATAATTGACTGTTTTTCTTTACGTAATTTTATAAGAATACACGAATACATTCAGGATCTCAATTTAATTTCAAGTATTTATAGAATTATAAAATTATCGAT